TTTACTTCTTTATATAAACTTCCCTCAATAAAATATGTTATTTATCGTGGTATTCAAGGAAATTTAAGTCATAAATATAATAATAATGATTGTTTTTGGTGGGGATTCAGTTCGTGTATTGATAAAATGAATGTTATGAAAGATTATATTGGAAATGATGATGATAGAACAATATTTATTATTCAATGTTTAAATGATAAATCTATTCGTTCTCATTCATCTTTTCAAAATGTAAATGAAATTATTCTTCTTCCTGGAAATTATTTTCAAATTATTACTAAATGTCATGCAGGAAATGGTTTAAATATGCTTCTATTAAAACAACAACCATCACTACCATATGGAATATTTCCTTTATTTTTGACTACATCTTTGTCTTTAGCAGAGAATCAACTAATTTCAGAAAATAGAAATTCTCTTTCATTTCTATCAAGAAGTAAGTTTTATTCCTTTTTTTCGTCAAAAATAAAAATATTTTCTTCAATTATTTTTCTTTATTAAGGAATTATATTTGAGAAATGGGAAAAAGTCGGAAAAACTGTTGCAGCTGGAAATGGAAGAGGAAGGGAATTAAATCAACTCGATGAATCTCGACGAATCTTTATTGATAAAAATCAAAATATTTTTATTGTTGATACGCAGAATTCTCGTATTGTTCAATGGAAAAAAGATGCAAATAAAGGAATTGTTGTTGCTGGTGGAAATCGAGATGGAAATAGAATTGTCCATTAGATGTGATTGTTGACGAAGAAAATAATTCATTGATTATTGCTGATTGTGAAAATAAACGAGTTATTCGATGGTCATTAAATCAAAATCAACAAAAACAAGAAGTTCTTATTAATAATATTGAATGTTGCAGTTTAAAAATGGATAAATATCGTTATCTGTATGTTTGTGATTTTAATAATAAACAAAACGAGAAGGAATATTAGTGGCTGGTGGAAATGGAAGTGGAAATAACCTTAATCAATTAAATCAACCTTCTTTCATTTTTGTTGATGATCAACAATCAGTTTATGTTTCAGACTCTGGAAATCATCGTGTGATGAAATGGTTGAAAGATGCTCGGGAAGGAATTGTTGTTGCTGGTGGAAATGGTCAAGGACATAATCTTAATCAATTATCTTATCCTACGTCATTAATTGCTAATGATTTCGGTCAAATTTATGTGGCAGATTTTGAAAATGATCGAATAATGCGTTGGAGTGAAGAAAACAAAGCCCGTACAAGACGTGTTGATGAGTCTGATCTAGTTTATACAAAGTCTCCAAAGAAAATACAAAAAATACCTTTGACAAGTGATATAATTGTTGGTGAAAATGGTAGAGAAAATGAATTATATCAATTGGATGGTCCTAATGGTTTATCTTTTGATTGTGAAGGAAATCTTTATGTTACTGACTGAGGAAATGATCGAATTCAACGATTTGATTTAATTTGATAAGAGAAAAAATTGATTTTCTTATTTTGTTGAATTTCTTTGAATTATTTTTTGATGAAGAAAATAAAAATCATATGATTGATATTTTTTATCGAAGAAATATAAAACAATCATTGAGAATATGATGATATTTTTACTCTTTCAATTAATAATTCAATAGAATTTTTCTATTTTTTATCAAAATTATTAACATTAAAATAATTATTTTTGGAAAAGAAAAATCTTTTTTTTTCTTTTTCTGTTATGAAGATTTTTTAATATAAATCTTTTGTTTAAGTTTTACTCATGTTCTAATTTTGAATTATTGTTGCGTTAGAATAAAAAAATTCTTTTGTTTTTTGAAAGAGAAAAGCAACTCAATGTCGAAAGTTCGTTACCTTTAATCCCATGCCTCAAATCACTTATATGTGCATTAAAACAACAGATACTTACCGTTCATCTAGCAGAAGGATACATGAAACTGGAGAGTTGAAGTACTTACCAATTAGATTTCTCTATTCTCAGTCGAATTATATTCCATCCTCATTTTGATTGAGACTATGTTGAATTATTCTCTTCCTATCTAAACACGGGTTATCGGAAGTTCGCCAGTAAGACTTTCGCAGTTTGGACTTTCGCCATTAACAAACGTCCAAAGTATTTCATCAATACCCGTACTTGACATTATCATGAAAGATTTCAATATGATTAATAATGTGACGAATCTTTCTTTATATATCAAGATTTTCATATATAGTAAGGCAAATAAGACTGAAAATTTCCAGATTATTATCATTTATATTAGAAAATAATTCATAATCAGTTTCATTGATTGAAATCATTGTTTATAAGTTGAAAAGAATAATACTTTCAAAGTTAGACAAACTTTATTCAGAATATCAGAAGATACGACAAGTATTTATTCTTCTTCTTCGTGTTCGATAAAAAATTACCATGGGGAAAAAAAAACGTAACCGATAGGATATTTAAGAATAGAATAACACTTTATGGTGAAGAAAATAAAGATTTCATAAAGCTTTATTATTTCTCTTTTTTGTAATTAATCAACTAAAATAATACAACAATATTCTTAAATCTTATTGTATTAATAAATCTATTGGAGATCAAAATTAATCAGAACCGTATTTTAAATTGGGATACGAAGATTAAAAATAAATAGAATTTAACATTTTCTACTAATGTCAATAATTGTTTATGATATTATTCAAACGTAATAAAAATAATATTGTGATCAACGACAAAATACGATTTGTTTGACTCAAAAAAAAAGAAATGGATTATTTGTTAAGGTTTCATATATTCGTTATTTAAAAAGAAAATCATTAAACTACACAACTTTTCTTCCCAAAGAACACTTTCTTTTCATCTTCATAAATCATACAAATGTACTGTTTTTTCTTCTTCAATTTTGCATCAGTAATGTGCATTTGTGTCTACGAGCAATGAATTGTTTTTTTTTCGCTTAATCTGTATGATCCATCAAATGTTTGAAAAATCGATGCACAACGAAATCACTATGGTATTTCTTTATCGTTATTGAAATTCTCCACAAGTAAGACGAAAAAGGGGCTAAGATATTTTGTATTCTTTTCATTTGCTATTGAAAACTAAGAAGATAAATGTAAAAATGTATTTTGAGTTAGTATATTTCATAAGTGAACAATTCACAAAACGTTTCTTGACTATTTTATAATAGATTTATGGTAAAATCTTGTTTAAAAACATGTTATTGATATAGTTTTTGTAGTTTGACAATAAGACATCCAATAGTATAGAGGAAAATAAGAATAATTAATATATATATTGTAATTAGAAATCCAAATGCGAATTTGTATAGATTTTCTTGACAATAATTCGATTTATAAGGTTGATTATGTTGAATGTTTGATTTCACAGAAAATACCCATACGCTTCCCTATCAAAATCACATAAAAATATATCTTCTAATATGTGAAAAAGAATCTTTTTAATTTACAACGATTAGCCATGCCAGAGAGAATATCAATAACGGATGTAGAATAAAGCCACTAAAACGCTCTGCTTTACTTTTACAAGTAGCGTTCGTCGTGCCGACTCACTTCACCCTCGACTGTGGAAGACAAATATACTGTCTGCGTGTGCTATTAATGAGGCGAATCAATCTAGCAACTTCGCGTACGATGAAACGGTAAAACCTTTTCTGTACGACTATTTATTAACTCTCGCAAATAAAATAGCTTATTGTCTTTGTAAAACAAATGTGAGGATATAAAAGGTCTCTATTTATTATGAATTTATCACGAGTAACGCTGGTCGGGTACTCTCGCTGAACGCTCGGCTGATTTTCTCCCATTGTACTCTTGTCATTAGAACTACACAAAAGATGTAACAACCCTCTCATCTCGCAGTCGGTCGTCGGCGTCCCTCCGGTCCGCCACTCCCGACTGCTCGATATTGCTCATAGCATGTACACTTTGTCAAATGACAGGCGCCTTTCTTCTCCACCATTCACACACAATTTAGCTGCCTCAACACAATCAGTATAAACAAATCTCCGAGCTGCAGCTTGTCTTTCCTTTATTGAACGTTACAAGATACTGACAACCCGCCTTATCGATAGGGCCACATAACAGATGCATCTAAGACGCTCAATGCATGATTCATCTATCCTAGACACCTAATTTCATAGTCTGACATCGCGCGCTAGCTATCGATCCATTTTATGATTTGTGACAATTATCAATCAGCCTCATCTATCTCCACGCGCTATTCATGACGTTTCTGTCATCTCTTGCCTTCAATCATGCCATAGATAGACACCATTCAAACTACCTTTTCTCAAGAGACCATGTGGCGAGTCTTCGTCCATGTACAGTCCTTGCTTACCCAACTCACCGAGTTAGTAGATTCTTAGTTCAAACCTCAAGTCATATCTCGACGCTATAAATATGCTCTTCCGTCGACCATAGGTTCGAACGGAAAAGACTACTCTTCAAACGGCAAATATTTCGAGAAAAACGATTTTTAATCTGTCACTCTTGGCCCTTGACCCTCGCCCACACCCGTGGCCATGAGGGGTCACACCGTGCCACGCGGCACACACTATTGGCCACATCTCCTACCTTCAGCCACCACTAGCCGCACACGCGCGCAACTTCAGCCACTTAGCGCGCAGTAGCCCACCGTCGCCCACGTTTTGCCACAAACAAACTATTTTATTTCATATGACCCTCCTTACAGTCGAGGGAATAAGAAGTACAATATTTGAATGTTATAAATATCTATAGAGAATATATTAATTCACGAAATACATACTAAAATCTTACCATAATATACACGAAATTAATACGACATAAACTTACAATTCCAAAAGTAATCATCCATCGTGGAATCCATGGTTCAACTGGACAATCAAATTTGTAGATTTGACCAACAATTAGAAGAGCTATTGGTAAAATATTTACAGCTATAAATGTTATCAAAATAATTATATCCCATTTTGATATTAAACATTTGGTCGTCATATATTCGTTCTTTTGATCGATACTTGATGTCACAGAAAGTCTTGTATCTGTAGATTCATCTAGTGATAGTTGTCTCTCTGTTGATGTCGTTACATTCTGCATTTCTATAAAACAACATTCTTGGATACTAAAGTGAAAATTAAAATAGAATCATTCTGACCTGAACGAAAATATTGATATATTGTATTTATTAATATTTTCGTACTTCTACGACTCATCGATGGTGATGGTGGTAGTGATATTGAATCAATATCTAAATTATGAATAGATTTTTTTATTTCTAACAATAATCCATAGATTATAACAGATGATTGATATTGTGTTTTCCATTCTAATTCTTCATTTCGAATATAAGGACATATTCTTATTCCTTTCTCATTTGCACCAACTGTTTCTGATTGAACACTAAATGAGTCATATTTTTGTTTGCATTGCAATGCTACTTTTATTTTATAGAACTGTAAATTGTAAGGTGATCTAAAGTCATATGTATGAGCATAACAGTCAAGTGCAGCATAATTAATTGATGATGTTGTTAAAATATACCCAGGTCGAACATTACGGTGATCGTAAACGGGAAAATTACGACCGTATACGGACCGTAACACGGCCGTATCTTAACGGATACGAGCCAAAATCGGCCGTATTATGACGAACACGACCGTAAACACCGCCGTTTATGATAGTATCACAACGCAATTCGAGCGCTTTCACTAGGATTTCACCAGAACTAATTGAAAGCCTAAGACCCGTCCTAGTTGAAAGCCTAAGACCGATCCTAGTTGAAGGCCTAGGACCTATCCTAGATGAAAGCCTAGGACCCGTCCTAGATGAAAGCCATGGAAATACAAAAAAGGCACCTCTAAATATACCCCCCTCTTGAAATCCTGAAAGACGAAAGACGGATTTCAGAATGTTCTAGAAGAAATCCGATGTAGGATTTCATCTCGCATGGAATTCGAAATACATAGAAATACAGAATAAACACCTGTATTATTATGATAGCTGTAAACGGCGAAAGTTTAGGGCCATTGTTTACGGTGAGCGTAGTATAGCGTGAAACATCGTATACGACTGTCGTAAGTGATCAACGTAAACCGTCATCGTTTTCCGTCGTAAACTATTAGTATACGGCCGTGCGTGATCGACCTGGGTCCATCTTCTCCTTTCTCACTAGATGTCCTTTATAGATTTATTTTAACCAAAACGACACACGAAACAATATGACTTTTTAGTCATTTCACTGAATTCTAACCAAGGATAAAATTGGTACCGAGTACGACAAAAATGGCGATGTTTGTTTGTTGAAAAATTAATGTTTGGCTGATATGGCCCTAATAATACAAATTCTTTAGCTGTTAATGGACCTCGGTCAGGGTCTCTTTTATATGAATCAGCTTTTAAATTAACTAATAATTCATAATTATTAGTTGTTGATGTTGTTAATGAAGATTCAATGGCAGAACTTGCACACGTTTCATTTTGATCATCATTATCATCATCAATAATGCAAACTATCGATGAATTGTATGGAGTTTCGTTGCTTTTGTTTAATCTATCGGATTCATTTATGTTAACAATATCTGTGTTAACAACCCAGTGAAAAAACTGTCGGATTATACTAGATTATGCCAGATTATAATCGAATTTTTCTGCAACAAAATCAAGATTATAATTGATTAAAATTTCCAAAAAAAAGATAATTTGATTTTAATCAATTATAATTTCCTGAAATTGATATCTTTTTTACTTAAATAACTTAAAATCAAAAATATATGATTTCTAAATCGATTATAAATGATTTTGATCAAAAATATACTGATTTCAGGAAATTACTTTTGATTAAAAATCAAATTATTGTTTTTTTTGAAAATTTTAATCAATTATGATCTT